TGAGGTTTGGAATACGAGTTTTAGAACAGTGTAAAGATGTTTGGAACTACACGACCAAAAAAGTATGGAAAAAGGGTTTTGAAAATGTCTAAAGTTGTTTAGCCAAAACGGGTGTAAGATTGGGATTATAGCCTAAACCCGGCTCTCCTATAATGGAATTCGTAAGATAGCACATTCCACGACTTCCATCAGTTGAGTGTTTGAAAGAAAACGCCCAAGTCTTAAGGTCGGTCAAGATGGGGTGTCTACAGGTGCCCCTCTTTGATAGAGCTCGATACGTCATTTCATGACATGAATGAATGTCACAGCCCGAAGACGACCCTTTTGACGAGGCCGTAAGACTTGGGCAAACAAACAAAATGTAGAAGTAGTTAGTTGAACTCGAAGGTTGCCTACGTATCCTTTTGCAAGGAATCAAACCAGTGTAGTTCAGGGGCTCGATGCAAATGATATGCTTGAAATTCAATTGAAAGTTGGACTTGCACGTATCACGAAGCTGGTTATTTGAAAGTTGATGATGATGTAATGCAATGCAATGTAATTATGATAAAAATGTGAAGATGGCAACATGCGAGGCAAGCCTTGTGCAAATTATATGAAGTATGCTAAAAAGAGTGTGGATATGACGAATACAACCTTTTTGTGTTTTCACACATCAAGGAGGTGGACAATTCCAATAACGTTTTACGGATGAACATGAAATTGGAAAAACAATCCAAACATATATCATATGAGTGGAAGAAAAAAATTAAACATGCTTTCTACACGAGTGAAGAAAGGTGACTGTCATGACCCAAACCCGCCCCTAAAAGTTTAGCGTCGTAACCGGCCAGTAATCCTTGGATTACCAAAGACCTTTCAATATAAACAAAAATAATCTGGACTTGCGGAAGCAATAGACAAAAACACCAATAGTCCAATGAACTGTGCATGTATATGAATAAATATGTACATGCAAAAACGTTAATTTACCCACTGACAATGCATAACAATAACATAATATCTTATACAAAACATAGGCACGTGTCACAAGTGTACATCATAAGCAAAAGCCTGACAACGACCTTCCAGGCCTAGCCCTAACTCAGAGGCACTCAAAACGACGCGGTAGGCTTCAAAGTAGTGGCTCGGTTAAAGACTCTTTTAGGCTTGCCCTCCGGAACGCTCACCTATACATAGATATATAAAAACAGTGAGCTAAAGCCTAGTGAATAACATTAACGTAAAGGGATTAGTGAATGAATTCCAAATACAACGTATCTGTAAAAAAAATTCATGACAAAATCATACATATCAGTCTCATATCAGAAAATAACATAATGGTACATCTCAAAGAACATATCATATATCATCTTCTGACTAGAGTAATCGATTCCGGATACCGATTAAACACATACCACCACAATGAAGTGGCTAACGAGATCTCGTATCACATATATGTCATGGACCCACATTTACATGCCGTCCCTTATGGCTTGGGACTATCTGTGAATGCCATAATAGATTCGTAAATAGGATATTCGTTCACATCATCAAAATAGTATTTCAGAAATTATAAGTTATCGTATAATAGTGGAAACATAGTTCATATCAACATATCTTTACAGAAATATTACTCATAGTGGGCTCCCCGAACCGGTTGTTCGATCTTTGAGTCTTGACCTACAATCATAAACAGTCACAACATAATTTCTCAATACCCATTCAAGTTATTCAATTGCTTCTTAGCTTATTCTGTTATCCCGTTCAGTTATTTCCATTCTTCTTTTAATTTCCATGGAATGCATGCATATGGACGTCAATTACATGTGAAAACCATGCTAATGGAGGCCCGAAAGAGGAAAAAAATGAAGTAGAAAAATGAAGTTAGGCCAACCTGACAACCGCATGTGCGGGGTGTCTTAGCCGTATGTGCAGGGCTCCCACCTCACTTGCGCCGGGACGTGCAATTATTTCAGAATGTTCTCCTTTACTCCCCTGTTTTCCACACGTGCGGGCCTTCCCACTGCATGTACGCCATTGCCTCCCGCACGTGCGGTCCTCTCTGCCGCACGTGTGGTTCTGGGCAATACAGAACCGAAAATCTGCTTTGTATGGGAACTTATTCTTTTACACAACCAACTTCAAATTCATACATTTCAAGGCTCAAAACACTTAGAAACAACATGAATTTCCTATCTCTAACTTCAAATAAAAAATCATGACTTCAAAACAAAATCCAAATGTCCATGTAAAAGCTCACAAACTTGAATTAAGTTGGTAAAAAGCATAAACATGCACATAAGAGTTTCATTTCTCAAATCTGTGAAGTTTCCTCCCCAAATATGACAATCAAGCAAGAAAACATGATGTATAAACATGAAAAGGTCATGGATGATTCCAAGTTCTCTCTTGTAAAACATTATGTCAATTTTTTTTTTTTTTTTTTATAATTGTAAAGGTGGGCATGGTACACACCTTTTCATAGTATTTCCCTAGAAGTAAACAATATGTGTTAGGAATTGGGTCTGCAAGATAATTTATGAAGATGATAAATTTTTTTTTTTTCCAAAATCTTATATTATCTATGCTCATTAATAATTACATTAAATTATTTTAAGATTTTAAATCACATAATATATAACTTCATTTCATTAATAATTTGTTAGTTATATAAATAAAAATAATAATATGGTCATTTCTTTTACACTAAAATATATATTATCGCTTGTTTATCCATGTATTTTCATACTATTTATATTAGTTTTGATTTATTTTACTAAAAAGAAGGTTAGCATAATTATATTAAAACTGTGGAATTATTTGCATTTTCTGCAAATCTCAGGAGAAGTCAGTGTAATTTATCCTTATATTAAAAAAAAAAAAAAAAAACAACAACAACAACAACATTGTTGGGTTTTAATAAAAAAATAAAAAATTAGAGTATTTTAATTGATCGTAATAATGTCTTCCTCTTTATAGTGCGGCGATTGGTGAGCAGAGCAACCATTAATCTCTGCTGTGGAAATAATAGAGAGAAATGGAGTAAAGCTAAAGACTAAAGGTGTTTTAGTCACATGACAAATCTATACAAGTAGGAATGTGATAAGATCACGTAATGGATGATGGAAGTGATAAAAGAGTAGAGTAGAGTAGTTGTATGTATGAGATATGCATATTGTAAGAGTAGCTAATCTGAGTCTAAAAAAAATTAATTAGGTCTAATAGCTCAAGATTAGTAGGTCCGAATTTATCGTAAGTCCAAGATGGGTGGGCCCAGATTAATCAACATAAAAAACGGGCCGAATCGCTCTAGGCCTCGAAAGGGTTCGGATCCACGAACTTAGAGACTTACTGGGTTCGGACTCAAATGGATTTGGATCTACGAACCTAGAGATCCGAAGCACTTGGCTTCGAACGGATTCAAACACAATCTAGAAGCCGCTCCGTTAATGAGTCCCAGAACACTTGCACGCTCGGAGCTTTCCGGGATCTACGCACCAAAACCATGAGCGTAATGGAGTTCGAACAAAGGACCCGATCGCAAGGATGATGAGTGGAGATAAATTCACTCTTCAGTTAAACTAGCCTATACCCGGATCAAGGTAGCACGACTCTGGGGGGTCCATGAGACTCGGCAATATTTAGCGGCGGGGGGGTCCTCTAGGACTACCTCGGGCCTTTGGGATGATTGGGAATCATTGATTAGGTGTGGCTAAGAAGAAGGGTTCGCCGAGAGGCTGATCTCCTCTTCGGGGTTCTCCTCATCCTCGGAGAGGTCACCTCCTCGGACAAGGTGATTAAAGAGAATATTTCCCGTGCCTTGCACATGGGCTCCATCCTACATCATGAGGTGCCTATAAATAGCATCCACCCATAGCTTTACAAGGGATGAATTTTGGAGATTTAACTCTTGGGAAAGAACTAATTTCCCTTCTCTATTATCAAGCTTGAGAGTGAAAGTGGGAGATCAATGGGAGATCTATGGGAGAGCCTTGCCATTATTCTATCTCTAGCCACTTTGCCTTCTTCTCCACCCAATCACTTATCTCCATCATCTCTTTTACTCTTGTGCTCTTAAGTTGAGACTATTGAAGAATCTAAGTCTCCTATCATCTTCTAAAGAATTCGAAATTGTTCTTTAAGAATTTTCGAATTTTCCAATAACGTTCTTGAACCCTCTCATACACATACGATATAGACATGTGACCCATGTATGTGTATGTTTGTTTGCTAGGATTGTCTTCTCCTGGACAATCTTTATTGACGGAGGAATATCTTTCTAGCTCATAGCGATGACATCCAACATTAGATGGGTCATCATTTTTATCTGTTTCTGGTTGTTGACTGTTCTTTTTCGCCTTTCTTGGTTCTCCTCAATACAGCCAATTCTCCACAAAACATTACTCACTTATTTAATAAAGATATTTAGAAGATAAATGATAACTTTTTTACTATATACTGCAATTTTTTATTATTTGAAAATACTGTATAAAATATGATATTTAAAAACTTTCTAATAATTTTTTCAAAGGGTCATGATTTTAAAGAAGATTGTTTTTAAAATAAATAAATAAAGTCATTATCATTAAATCTTCGCATCTATTGTTCTTAGAATCATGTCCGAACAGCCATTATTATATAATTGAAAATAAAATGATATTTTTATAGAACATATGTAAGAACCATATTTATTGGTCAAATGGTAGAACGGTAATTACAGGTATGAAAAATCAATATTTATTAGGCTCTATTTCTTTCGACGTAAAATATTTTACACAAAATGATTATGTTTTTGTTTTTCGGCGTTTGGTTGACGCTTAAAATAAAAATATTTTATTATCTAAAAGAGAAATTTTGATTCAATAAAATGTCATTTTTGACTTTTTAGTGAGTTAAAATACTTATTTAAAAAGGTTAAATGTGCTAAAAAGGTAGTGAGTGAGTCAATTTTATAAAAAAAATTACGAAATTTTAAAAGTAAGTCAATTTCTAGAAAATGTTGCAAAAATATTTTTCTTAAAAAATATTTTTACCAACTTTTTGTGCAAGTAAACAACGAAAAATAAGTAAAATATTTTAATTCAAACCGAACGTAGCCTTGGTAAATTTCTAAATAAAAAATCGGAGGATTGTAGTATTACCATTGTTAGAAAGTGTAGGCTATAACAACTATAACAACAACAAAAATGATAATGGACAGGTGCTATATGTGGGCCAGCAAGCCTTGTGAACTCAATGATGGACCTGCATCAAGGGGCCCTAATGCTACTAGGCCCAACCATGAATGCCAAGGTAGCCTCTGAACTATCAGAAAGAATTCCTCACCTGGGCTTGAGAATGAAAGAGCATTCCCACAGGGCCTTGAATTACTCAAAGAGAATGAAGAGAATGGGAGTCAAAGTCATCTACCCGGGGCTAGAGGAACACCCAGATCACAATCTGTTGAAGTCAATGGCAAACAAAGAGTACGGGTACGGTGGACTACTATGCGTGGACATGGAAACAGAGGAAAGGGCAAACAGGTTGATGAACAACTTGCAAAACATAACACAGTTTGGGTTCATGGCAGTGAGCTTGGGGTATCATGAGACACTTATGTCGTGCTCGGGTAGCAGCACAAGCAGCGAAATGAATGCCCAAGAGAAGGCGATGGCGGGGATTTCGCCTGGTTTGGTTAGGATGTCAATAGGGTATAGCGGGACTATGGAGTGTTGGATTTATTTTCTAGTGTAGCCCAACAGCCTACATATTTTTTACATGTTTTAATTTATTTGGACTCCACAAATAAATAAAGTCAATATTTGAGATCACTAAATAGAATTTTAATATAATCACTCTTCTAAGATAAGAAGGAAATCTTGATGGATTAGGAATTCTTCTGATAGAGTTTATCTGGCTCTGTTCTCTCCTCTATATAAGGATGGGTGACTCCCTTTTCATATCATGAGTATTTTTTCCATCACTTTAAGTTTTATAGTCATCCCAATTAAGAGAGACAGAGGGAAGAAGGTGAGCCAAAATTAAAGGTTCAACTCTAAGGGGTATTTTCTCAACTTCTCTAATTCAATGGCTGACAAAGGTATGTTTTATTCATTATTGAGTTGTATTGAATTCAATATCCTGTAAAGTTTAATTCCGCATTATTATTATGGTTACATGTATTATTAAATCTTACATGTGGTATCAGAGCTTTAGTTTGTGAATCAATACACCTTGGAATAATAATATATTTATGAATATTGTTATTATAGTTATAATTATTCATAACAACATATTTTTTGTTCATAAGGTTTGAATTCTCGGCATGTGTTGGTTATCTTGAATATACGCTGTATGTTCAACTTTGTAAGCTGAATGCCATATTTATTAGGCAGTGTCTGAATGGTACATCTAATCTCTTTCATATTCATTATGCATCAAAGAAATTCTTTTTGTGTTGTTAAAAGTCAAAAGTTTCGTAAAAGAAGATTTCATTCCTGATTTCTAAATCGTAACTAAGTATGCACATCATGGACTCCCTCACTCACTTTGTTTTGTGATATGTTAGGTGCAAACTTTTATGTAATTCTATATGCTGTTCATATGCATGTTTTGATTTATTATCAATTTTAGTAATAATAATTTTTATAATCATCATAATACGTTATTGAATTGAGTGTATTGCTTGCCGTTATGATAAAGTGCATAGATTAAAAGCAATTTTAGAATTTTGCTGAATCGTTCGGACTATTAAATAAATATATTTATTTGATTGTATCACATTAGAGGATTATGTTTTTGCTTTGTTTAATTATGCACACTTATTGTCTATTATTGTTAAATATTTATATATTTTCATGATTTAAAATTGATATCATGATATAATTTTATGACATTGAATATTAAATATTAAAGTGGTTAATTCATATTAGGTGTAATTCTTATTAACCATTATTTTAGATATTTATGATTGTTATAATACATATATAAATATTCATGTTCATGCAGAGTTATTATTATTATTATATTGGTAATTGCAATCACATAAAAGAAATTTTAGAAATCATAAAATAATGATCTCATTAAAATTGTGATTGAATTAATGATAATTAAATAACTCAAAATTAATGAATAGAAAATATTATTGGTTAGTTCCTTATTCATAAGGTTTACTAATTTAGTAGCTGCCAAAGTGGCCTAGATTTGTAAAACTTATGAATATAGAACTACATAAAAGAATTGTTAAAAAGGGTAACATTAAGGTCGATAATATTCTCAATTGCAGTTATAATTAGGAGATTGAGACTAGCCCAAAGGAGAGTCACTTTCAAATAATTATAAACTGGGTAGGATAATATAACTTATGTAATTTGACAGATTAGAATTGAATACCCAAAGGTAACATGACTAGCTGAAAAATTGCATAAATTACTTTAGACCTGCATAAGTGATTCTTGACGAGTGGACAATAGATATACCTAAGTTTTGCCCAAAGGAAAAGACTCATGGGATATCAATAGTTCATCATAATTCTCAAAGCTTTGATATGTATATTGTTTATGCCTTTTTCCGTGTTACTTATGAGATCTTGTGTTAATACCTCTTAAGATCTGTCAAAAAGATAGCTTGTTATCTAAGGTGGTTGGACTTAGAAGGGAGGCTATATTGACTCCTCCGACCTTTCTGGGATCTTACTTGGTTATTGACCAAAGGACTCTTTAGTGACATTACCCTAACGCTTAAAGTAAAATTTGGTTAAAGGTTGTTGAAGATCGACAAGCCACTTGTTGGCACTATTATGGTTGAATTAACAACAATGAAATAGGTCACCAAGGAGTTTAGAATCACATCCTCAATATGGCGACAAAGTTGCAAAACTTAAAACTTTAGGATGCATGTTGATGAAACTTTCCTCGTGTAGTTTATTCTCAACTCATTTCCATCACAGTTCGGTGCATTCAAAATTCACTATAACACCAATAAAGATAAGTGGAGTTTGAATGAGCTGACTAATATGTGTGTTTAGGAGGAAGTGAGGTTGAGGGAGGAAGGACGTCAAACTGCATTGGCTGTAACTCATGGAGCTATAAAGAAAAAGATGGGTAAGTTTGTAAAATCAAAGAAAAATCCACCAAAGAGAAGAAATGAACCTGGGGAAGAAAATCAGGCTAAGAATGGTTTCACTGTCAAGTGCTACTTTTGTGGCAAGAAGGGACATGTGAAGAAAGACTGCAGCAAGCGAAAGGCATGGTTCGAAAAGAAAGGTAAGAAATTTTCTTTTGTTTGTTATGAATCAAATCTTGCTGAAGTACCTTCTAATACGTGGTGGATTGACTCTGGGGCCACGACCCACATTACAAATGACATGCAGGGATACCTCTCAACCAGGAAACCGAAGGAAAGTGAAAGATTTGTCTATATGGGAAACCGTCTCAAAGCTGAAGTCGTAACTGTAGGAACCTATCGACTGATCTTAGAGACGAGTCATCAGATGGATCTAGAAGACACTTTTTATGTTCCTTCAATTTCTAGGAATTTAGTTTCCTTATCCAAATTGGATCGTGTTGGATATTCAGTTTTATTTAATTGTGGAAAACTCAATTTAATGTTTAATTCAAAAGTGATTGGCTCTGGTAATTTATGTGATGGTTTATATAAAATTACCTTAAATCATGAGTTTGCACAATCATTAGTAACTCTGCATTCAAATATTGGTTTAAGACATGGTCTAATTAATGAAAAAATCCTCAATCTTGTGGCATAGACGGTTGGGGCATATCTCTAGAAATAGAATTGAAAAATTGGTAAAGAATGGGATTTTGGAAAACCTAGACTTCACTGATTTTCAGATATGTATGGATTGCATTAAAGGAAAGCAAACCAAACACACCAAGAAAGGTGCCACAAGAAATAATGAGTTTCTTGAGATAATTCATACAGATATTTGCGGGCCACTCAACATCCCATGTCTTAGTGGTGAAAAATATTTTATCACATTTATAGATGACTTCTCACGTTATGGATATGTGTATCTAATTCATGAAAAGTCTCAGGCTGTTGACATCCTTGAGGTGTACATAACTGAAGTCGAGAGACAATTAGATAGAAAGGTTAAAATAGTGAGATCAGACAAAGGTGGTGAATATTATGGTAAATATGATGAGTTAGGCCAAAATCCTAGCCCATTTGCCAAATTCTTAGAAAAGAAAGCCATTTGTGCTCAATATACAATGCCTGGTACGCCACAGCAAAATGGAGTTGCTGAAAGGCGTAATCGTACACTTAAAGATATGGTTAGGAGTATATTAAGTTACTCAATTGTACCTATTTTAATGTGGGGTGAAGCTTGAAAGACTGCAATGTATATCTTAAATAGGGTTCCTAGTAAGGCGGTCCCAACAACTCCTTTTGAGTTGTGGACTGGTAGGAAACCTAGTTTGAGACACTTACATATTTGGGTTGTCCAGCAGAGGCAAGAATCTTCAACCTACAAGAGAAAAAGTTGGACTAAAGAACAATGTCTGGATATTTCATTGGTTATCCAGACAAGTCTAAAGGGTACAAATTTTATTGTCCTAATCACAGTACGAGGATAGTGGAGACTAGTAATGCTAGATTCCTAGAGAATGGTGAAATCAGTGGGAGTGAGAAAACACGAGTGGTGAATTTCGAGGAAATTAGGGTAGATGTGCCAACATTTGACCCTTATCGAAAAGTTGTTGTTCCTCAGACTATTCCACAGGCTGAGGAAAATGAACAATATGATGAAAATCTTTCACCACCTCATGTTTCACCACTTCATGAAGATACCACCATTGAAAATATTGTAGAACCACCACAACCGGCAGTTCTGAGAAGATCTCAGAGGGAAAGAAAGCCTGCCATTCCAGATGATTACATGGTGTATCTACAGGAATCTAATTTTATATTGGGATTAACAAAGATCCAGTCTCATTTTCACAAGTCATGAATAGTGATGATTCTTCTAAATGGGTCAATGCTATAAATGAAGAGTTAAAATCCATGGAACAGAATAGTGTTTGGGATCTCGTCGAATTGCCTAATAACTGTAAAAAGGTCGGGTGTAAATGGGTCTTCAAGACCAAGCGTGACGCAAAAGGCAATATCGAACGATTTAAAGCCAGACTTGTTGCCAAAGGTTTTACTCAAAATAGAAGGCATAGACTATACAGAGACCTTCTCTCCAGTATCTAAGAAGGACTCGCTTAGAATCATCCTAGCATTGGTAGCTCATTATGACTTAGAGTTGCATCAAATGGATGTGAAAACTGTTTTTTTAAATGGGAATTTGGATGAAGAAATTTATATGGAGCAGTCCGAAGGATTTGCAAAGAAAGGTAAAGAACATTTAGCTTGCAAATTAAAAAATCCATATATGGCCTTAAACAAGCTTCTAAGCAATGGTATTTAAGGTTTAATGATATCATTACCTCTTTCAGATTTAAGGAAAATGCAGTTGATCAGTGCATATATCTGAAGGTTAGTGGGAGCAAGTTCATTATGTTGGTGCTATATGTGGATGATATTTTGTTAGCTAGTAATGACCTTGGCTTATTGCATGAAACCAAGGAATATCTCTCCAAGAATTTTAAAATGGTCGATATGGGTGAGGCAAACTATGTTTTTGGCATAGAGATCTTTAGGGATCGATCTCGAGAATTGCTAGGACTATCTCAAAAAGGATATATTGATCGTATTTTGGAGAGATTCAATATGCAGTTTTGTTCAGCCGGTGATGCACCTATCATGAAGGGTGATAAATTAAGTGAAAAACAGTGTCCAACGAATGACTTGAAAAGAAAACAAATAAAGGACATTCCATATGCTTTGAGGCTACAAATCATGCTTTATGGTTGCGAAATTTCATCTCAGGACTTAGTGTTGTTGACTCAATTGCCAAGCCGCTGAAGATATATTGTGACAATACCGCAGCAGTTTTCTTCTCTAAGAATGGAAAGTACTCCAGTGGTTCCAAACACATGGAAGTAAAGTACTTGGTTGTTAGAGAGAGAGTCCAGAAACAACAAGTGTTAATTGAAAACTTAAGCACCTCTCTTATGATTGCTGATCCATTCACAAAGGGATTGCCACCAAAGACATACAAAGAGCATGTTATCAGGATGTGTCTTTTAAGCAACCCTTGATGTGTATGGTTAATCATGAGTGCTTATTTTTTTTTTGACACTATTTGCGCAATAATAATTTTGTTTCTGTTTTTCCTGTTCTAAAAGTGTGTGTACACATTAAATTGAATATTGATAAACAGGGAATGTCTTAACAAGACAAATTACAGGGGCCTTTCAGGAAAATAATTATATATCCTGATAATGGACTGGGTTGGTGAAGGTTATCGATGGTGTAGTGCATAGAAGGAAATATGCCATAAATGTTATATAACCGCTATGACTCACATTGGTGATCTGAAGTAATCACAGTATTATAGTTTCTAATATATCTGAACTTATTGGCTATTTTTTAAAAAATTCGTGATCACGTGTCAAAGTTTTTTAGTGTGGAATCCAATGAGTCCAAATTTTTATAAGTTGCATATTTTTGGAAAAATTCATAATTGCATCATAATCGGCTTAATGGTCCAAGTGGGAGAATGTTGGATTTATTTTCTAGTGTGGCCCAATAGCCTACATATTTTTTACATGTTTTAATTTATTTGGACTCCACAAATAGATAAAGCCAATATTTGAGATCAAGTTCAGTAAATAGAATTTTAATATAATCACTCTTTTAAGATAAGAAGGAAACCTTGATGGATTAGGAATTCTTCTGATAGAGTTTATCTGACCCTCTTCTCTCCTCTATATAAGGATGGGTGACTCCCCTTTCATATCATGAGTATTTTTTCCATCACTTTAAGTTTTATAGTCATCCCAATTAAAAGAGACAGAAAGAAGAAGGTGAGCCAAAATTAAAGGTTCAACTCTAAGGGGTATTTTCTCAACTTCTCTAATTCAATGGCTGACAAAGGTATGTTTTATTCTTGAGTTGTATTGAATTTAAGATCCTGTAAAGTTTAATTCCGCATTATTATTATAGTTACATATATTATTAAATCTTATATGGAGCAGAGATGGAACCAGTTTGAGAAGGCACTCTCCAGAATGAATGACACAGCCTCCGTTTGGGAAGTGGGTTGGCTTTTTGGCTTTTTTTGGCTATTTTAGCCTGGGCTAAAAAGCTTGGTTTGGGAAGGGCTTTTTGGCTTTTTGGCTTTTTTGACTTTTTTTGTGAGAGAAGAGTGTAATGATTATGGGTTGGATGTGATGTTTTGTTTTTTGTGGCTAAAATAGCCTATTTTGTCTTTTGTAGCTAAAATAGCCAAAAAAGCCCCAAACTCTTCTTGCCAAACGAACCCTAAATAACTTTTCAAATTTTGACTTTGGAGATTTTCAGCAGTAGGAGTGAGTAGTGGATATATCGATCCGCCCAAACTGACCAAACCGAATCAATCTACCATATTTTGGACGGATGTGTGATGACGAGCGGACGGTTGCAGATTGATTTTTTCCAATCCGCCTACTTTTGGATGGATGACGGCTCTGAGGTTTCTTTGACCACAACCGAACTACCAAACCGCGAGCACCCATAGTAATTTGTAAGACTTTGTGTTTTCAATTTATTTAGATATTATGTTTGTGTTTTCAATTGAAAAAAAGTTTAAATATTTAAAAAGTTTGACTAAAATACAAAAACAAAAAAATACATTTAGAATAGGTGTAAAAGGTATATTTAGATTACGTGAACCTAAAAAGTAAAAAAAATGTAAAAAAAATCTTTTAAAAATTTACTAAATACAACAAATACAAAAAATACGATAATTCAATATATTTTTCATATTTTTATATATTTATTAATTTTTTAAAATATTTTTTCACAATTTTTTTACTTTTTAGATAAATCTAAGTATATGGTGTATCTAAAAAAATAAAAATAAAAAAGCCTAAAATTTTTAAAATATTTACTAAAAACAAATTTTTAAAAAACTTAATCCAAAAAATTCAAACCAAACACACATATTTCAACTAATTTTGCAGAGCTTAATAACTTTGTGGGTAGGCTTTGAATTCATTCTCGATTGGCTCATAGTATTTTTATTCAAGCACTCGAAGCGCAGTCACTAATGGCCGTCTGGGTGGCCTAGCATACAAAATCAGCCAACTCTAGCCGTAGATTTCTGCGGTGGCTATTTGAGGCTCAAAGTAAAAATTTAAGAGGGCTATTATTTACCCTTAGTTTTTTACTTTGGCGCCCCTTATTTCTTTACACCACCAATCTTCAATTTTTTCTTTAAAATCCTACCTTAATTTCAACTTTAGCTTCTCCCTCACCCACCCTCCCAACCCAATTACTGCCAGCTCCGGCCACCCCTTTCTCCAACATCCCCATCTCCGACGACCAACAACATCATCATCATTCATTCACTGCCACCATGTGAAGACCAACACCAATTTGGACTCGTCGAATTTGAACCAGTGATTGCCTCAATCAATCCACGACGACAACGACAACGCGCCAGAGATTGCGACAGCGATGAATCAGGAAAAGGCGAGTCGAAAGAGCGAGAGTGATGGTGACAAAGCCCATGACCAGTAGGCTATTTTGTCATCTTCATCTTCAAACCCCACATCATCTTCATCTTCATCTTCAAATCCCATGGCAACACCTGCTTTTACTCCTCTATCATCATCTTCATCTTCAAACCCCACAACTCCCCATTTCAAAGGCCATGTTCATTTGAGCGGACTAAATTAGGTTGAATTAGTATTTTCATGACTAATAATACTAGGACGGCGAATACCTTTGGGTTGTGTATCCTATCCTATGTTTGGATTGAGTTAGGATTATAAGGAGGAATTAACAGTCCAGACTTTAGCTTAGTCCTCCAATTTATATCATACCCCTCTCTGTGGGATTGAATAGTCCATCATATGTGAGATACCATATCCAGATGGATTATTAGTCCGTACTTCAATTGTTTAACCAAACATTGGATTAATAATTTCATTGGACTACTAATCCAATCTCAAACTCATGTCCACCCAAAAAAACATGGCCTAAGGGGAACCAGATGGTGGGTTGTCTCGTTGTGAACTCGATTTGCACCAAGGCCCAGTTGGATCAGAGGGTCACGAACCGAAATCGCAATCCAGTACTCGCGAACCGAAATCGCAATATAGAAGCTCCGTCGTGATCTGAAATGGCGACAAACCTTCTCTCTCTCTCTCTCTCTCTCTCCTAGTGATGGTGGGTTGTGGGGTTATGGTTTGAAGGGAAGTAATGGAGAGGCGACATTGAAAAAAAAAAAAAGAAAAAGAAGAGGGGTGGACTAGCTACAGGTGGTGGTGAAAGGAGGATGGTTGACGATCGAAGATGGTGGTAACTGTCGGAGGTAATGTGAATGGGATTAGAGTTAAAGTTAGTATTTGGAAAATTAGGGTTTAAAGATTAGGGATGTGGATGAAAATGGAAATTTATGTTTAGACAAAATTAGAATAAAAATAAAATAAAAGAGGTGGGGGTTCAAAAAAAATAAAATAAAAATAAAAATAAAAATAAAAATAGTGATAAATAGCCGTAACATTCACAATCAAATTTTTTTATTCTAATTTTAATTTGTTTTGCTTGACAATCATGCAATATCTTAAACCTTTACACACACACAAATAAAGAAATAAATAAAATAATAATAATAATATAAAAAAAAATCAAATTATGTAATATTTCATACTTTTGTGGAAAATTAACATTAAAGTAAATGTATAATTTGATAATTTTTTAAATTATTTATGCAAATATTTTAGTGTACTTTTTTTTAATTTTTAAAATATATTTTGATTAATAGTTTCTTTTATACAAAATACATAATGTATAGTAGGGGTGGCCATTGGCCTGTGCCCATCTTGCATATCTAAGTCTGATATTTTTAGGATTTAGAAAAAAATATTTTACCCAAAGGATCAGACTGGGTTCAGATTTTTGCTTATTTAATATTCAAGTTGGGCTTGGATGAATATTACTAACCCAAATCAGTCCAACCCTCCCATTTGTAATATATTGATTATAATTTTATATTATTTTAGTTATAAAATAAAGTAGAAAAAATATATAAGACAAAAACAGTATATATATTTCTTTCTAAGGTTCAAATTAAATATTTGTTAAAAATTATATTTATTCTACCATTAAATTTGGTTAATATTTCAAATTCAAATAGTAAATATAATAATTTTAATAAGTTACGAAAAAAAAAAAGGTTCATAAGTGAGTTGACTTGGATTTAAATCTTTTTTTAGGGGCAGATTTGGAATGATTAGATTAGGCCTGATGTCGGGCCGAGCCAAAATTGAGATAACTCAGATTCTCTTACTATGCGGACATAAATAGGGTTTGTTTGGAAACTCGACTATTTTAGTTGATTTTTTTAGCTATTTTAATTTGATTAAAAAGTTGTGTTTGGGATGATAATTTTTTTTTAGTAGTTGATTTGATAATTGTGTGAGAAAAAATAAAAATAATTATAGTTTGGATTTTGTCTTATTAGCTATTTAAATTTTTTTTTATATCTTTATTCATTATTTTTGCCCCAAACTTACATCCCAAACACGTGTTTGGATTCTCTTGAGAAATTCACTCTAGGGTGATGGAGCAGTGCTCAAAACGACGTCGTTTTGTACTTTGCTAATCCCTTCCCCCCCTCCTTGTGAAGCCCCTGAAATATGTATTCACTTTAGAAACCTTAATTTTTGAATTATTTTCTTAAAGTCCCTCGGTTACTTGAATTAATTCGAACCTTGTCGGTTAGCATTACTATTTTTTATTTTTATCAAAACAGGAATTACCCTAGCCGAATTAGGTTTCCTAACCTAATTTAATTCTACATAAGTTACATGAATTTAACTCCAAGCCCTCACTCTTTACTTAAATTCAAAACTTACCCAAAAACTAGTACTTGTACTTTGTACCTTGAAGTGCCATCAATCATGTAAGATATATATATATACACCTTGAGGAGTGTGCCCTAAGACCAAAATTAATAAAAAAATGGCCCTTCCACCCTTCCCTATGGCCGGCCCTTCTAGGAGAAAGTGAGGAGACCATTTTCAAAATATATCATTATAAAATTCTAGAAAAAAACACAACCTAGTGCCCTAGACCTAGGATGCAAATTCCAAAAGTAGTTCTATTTTAACTAAGTGTTGCCTAATCCTTGAGTAAGCCCCCCCCCTCCCAAATCACTTCGATTCCTTTAAATTTCAAACAAATCCTAAACTTTCCATCCATTTCCAACTAATGGGCTTTTAGGACATTTTACATCAAAATTGCCTATATACCAACCTCCCCTAGCTTGGCAAAACACAAACACCACACCCACACACACACATTCGGCTAGAGAGAGGGAGGAGAGCAAGAGAGAGAAGTCTAGAGGAGAAGAAGGAGGAAGAAGAGAGCCTTCTTGTGCAAAGTAGCAAGTAAGCCACAAACGCAACCTTCTCTTTCATTTTCCTTTTTTCAATACATGTTTCTAAGGGTTCTAAATAATGTTTTCAGATATGTTATTAATAAGTTCTTATGTTAAAAATGCTAAGGGTTGAGTATTGATTCCATTTCTCTTGTATTTTTCCCATTTTGGCACAAAACCATCTTCTTTTATGGCAATCTCTCAACTTTCCAAGGGCACTCTTTCAAGGAAATTTTCTGAGTTAAATATATGTTAGTTAGCATGTTTTCTTCACAAAAGAAACGAAAACTTTCCATTGGTGGAACCCTTATCTCATAAAACTTCTTGTTTTGGGTATGGTACCTTAGAATTTGGTTTTGCAGCCCACTTCCAGAAATTCTAGAAAAATGTATAAAATTATTCTGGACCTCTATTTCATGTAAAAATCTTCCTTGAGGAGTTAGCTTTCAACTAAAATTGGTTTCATCGAAAAACATTAAGCGGTTTGCAAGAAAATCAAATTTTCGTAACGGTCGACGGATCTGGACAGAATCTGGACAGAGCTGAAATATTTTCCGAATAACTTAGAATCTGGAAAAGCAATCCCGTTTCCAAAAAATGTTCTAGAAACTAGATCAAATTCCCTACGAACCATAGGAAGGCCAAGTCCGGTGAAGGATCTAACATAGA